TCTGGACTTACCGTTCTTATCATAAATGACGCTAATAATACTACAGCAACGTTAGCGCCAACCCTAATCACTACACCGGGTACAGCACCGACAGAAACAATCATTTCGACTATTACAACCACGATTACGACAACGACAACTGTTGTAACGTCACCAACAGTAACCACGACTACAGTAACTACAACGATAACAACGATAACACCGGAAGGCACAACAACTACGACAAAGGTCTCTTCGAGCACAACACCAACAACAACCCCAACGACAACGACGACAACGACAGTAACGACAACTACAACAACAATAACGACAACGACTAGAACTACAGGAACGTCATCGTCAACGACAACGACGACGACAACAACAACAATTTCCGAAGATGGTACCACTACCACTACAACCTTTACTGATCACACTACTTCTCCAACACCAACAACGAGTCCTACAACAACAACCACTGCTGCCACAACAACCACCACAACAACAACGACTACATCGACGACCACGACGACAACAACTACAACGACGACCACGACGACAACGACTACAACGATGTCTACGACCACTACCAGCACAACAACTACTTCGACATCAACATCAACAAGTACAACAACAGGTTTGTTCTCTAGGATTTCAGGGGGAGTGCTTTGACAGGTAAGTAAAGTTTTTTTAATTTACTTAGTGAAAAACCTGTCTACCTACAATTCATAGAGTAATTTCAATCTGACTTTAACCACAAGAATTTTCATTAAAACCCTTACAGCGACCACATCTGGCTTATGCGTAGACCAAGACTCAGCTGAGTGTCAGAAGAAAGAAGATCTGTGCAGCGATGTTAATTACTATAATATTATGAAGACGGTTTGTCCTAAAACGTGTAACTTATGTGGTGGGACTACAGGTAGAATTTTAAATAACGAAAAGCTGCTTCACTTTTTCAAATGGTGCTCAAAAGAGAGGCAAAGAAGAATTAATGGAGAAGTAGCCATCCACTTTTATTTAAACTTCGTTAAAAAAAGAATTTAAATTGGTTAGAAAAATAAAAAATTAAGGTATATAAAAATGACCTTCTAATTAATTTGAAGGCAACAGTAACTCCAATGTGATTTTAGTGACCACAACTGCTGCTGGTTCTGTCAGCACCTGTGTCGATCAAGATACTACTGAGTGTGAGAAGAAGAAACATCTCTGCGCTAATTCATTATACAAAAGCTTGATGAATGAAAAGTGCCCGGCAACTTGTGGTTTTTGCACTACTGACAACATATTGACAACAAGCACAGAAAAAGTTGCTAAAGGTTAGTTTGTATTGAATAGTCAATATGGACGAGGAAAGAGCTGTTCATTCCGCTTTCTTATTATGAACTTTTTCAGCTGCGGTCTTTGCCGCTCGCAAGTTGTGTGCAGATTTGGATACAACCCAATGTGAGACAAAGAAACAACTTTGTACTAATTCCCTTTATAGAGATCTCATGGTTGCAAAATGCCCGGAAACTTGCGGATTTTGCTGAATTAAGGCTTAGTGTCTGTAATTTTGTTTCATATTTTAAAAGGCTTTGTAGAAGAATGAAGGAATTGCCTCTAATAAAAATTTTTAAATGATTGTATTTTAATGTCATTTGTATTTGGTAAAAAAAGCTAAAATTATGCTTTAAAAATAAATTTTCACGTCCTGTCCAAAAAAAAAATTACAGCAAATTAAAGGAAACCACGGAAGAAATGAAACCATATTATTGTTTTTCCTATTCTT